GGGAAAAATCCTGAGGGGCCTTTAAGCCAACCCCTCTAGGGCCATCCTCGCAGTCTCCGGCGCCGCCTTCGCCGCCACTTTCTTGTGCAGCTCCTCGCACCGCAGATAGGGTTTAGGGTTTAGGGTTTAGGGTTTAGGGTTTAGGGTTTAGGGTTTAGGGTTTAGGGTTTAGGGCGAAGGGTTTAGTGATTTTGCTCAGAGGTGCGAGCCAAGGCAAGAATGCCGACACTCCACAGGCAATAGAGGGGGCCTTAATAACTAGAATAGGGTTACATTATTGTATTTGTTGGTTTTTTCTTTTCATTTTTTTTGTGGGCGGGGGTGAGGGGGGAGGGGGGAAGGTTGCTATAGTATAATTGTCTAAGGAATCTAAGGGAATACTCTTAGTAGTGATGCTGACCTCTATAGTAGTCCGGTTCGCCATCTCCTGGATGGATGGCCAGGCAAACTGTCCAGCTGGCCATTGTTGCCCGGTCTTAGCATTCCTTGCAGGAAGGCGGAATACAATGCAACAATCATGCATTAATACGCGTGTATATATATATATATATATATATATATTTCCACATACATACAAGAGCAATAGTATATCGGTGTAAAAACGTGTGTAGCATGCACATGTATACTGATATGCATGGTGGAACTAATCTGGCAGAAACCCAAATCCGTGTAAGCCCCCAATGTTCAACCTCTAAAATATCTAAACCCAAAGCCGCACATCCAAAATCTCACACCCACATCCCCTCCTAAACTCTGACCACACACCGTGACTCTTTACCCTAAACTCTAAGAGGTCGCGATGTTGGCTTAGGACGAACGAGGCGAGGGCATGCCGCAAAGCACGTTCTTCGCGAACTTCGCAGCATCTACGTGCGCTCTAAGCCCTGGATGGTTACGGGAGCTGGATGGCTACGGGAGCACCCACTTCTAACACTTGTGCACACAGAAGATAATAGGACAGAACTGTGGGTAATCAAAGGTGTAAAGTAGAGAGCGCAATTGTAAACATAAAGCCCTGCGCTTGACTTGAAGCAAACCTCGGCCTAAAGAACTCTGTCGTGTGGATTCCGCGACTGCCCAGGGGTCTCGGCTTGACTGGCCAAGGCGGAGGCCGAGGAGCTTAAAATCATATACCATAAGTGTAAATACAAAGCCCTTATCTAAATGTAATCTAACGACCTTTTTCTGTACTTTCGATGCTTGGGTGGAAGCTGCATCTCCGGTGTGTCGGCAACAACGGCATCCCAGAACAGCCATGCTGAGACGAGAGTTTGTGATGCTGGGCTCCTAAATTCACAAAGGCATATATTTGGGGTTTACGGAAATAAGGGACCCTGAATATAGGCCTCAAATAGTAGGATTCCCTTACCTAATTTCGGAAACTCACATTTTGCGGGTGCTCAGCATATTGATGTCCATCGTGTTGAAGGCTCCACAGACTGCAGCTGGCATACTTGATATCTTGCAGGACTCTGTATTACTAGGGTTTTGGAGGTGTACCTGAAGCACCCAGGAACATGTCCACTCCGAAAGCCAAGGGTCACGAAGCAGCCATCCTTGAACACGTCCTACAGGCGCATGGGCTGCTGAGCTCACCAGCAGCAATTCTAGGACATGGGAGTGCTTTGTTTCGGAATGTGTGGGATGTCTCTTGGTACAAAATGTCATCTCGCTCAGATTCCCCGAACTCTGCTGCTTCAGCAGAAAGGCCTGCAGGCACGAACCCTAATCCGAACCCCCTTCAGGGACACAAGCAGTCCTCAACCTTAAATGACAACTAGATAAACTCCACTCGGCACAGTAGAGATGCTTATCCTGAACCCTAAAACCTAAACCCTAAACGCTAAACCCCAAACCCTAAACCCTAAACCCCAAGGTGGAAGCTCGGATGTTCGGGGAGGCGGATCCCACGTGCCTCTCGACGACTGAGCAGCTCGCGCTCACTGACGCCGATAAACCACCTCAAGGACTGCACAGCCGGATATTTGGTGGGGTTAGGGTTTAGGGTTTAGGGTTTAGGGTTTAGGGTTTAGGGTTTAGGGTTTAGGGTTTAGGGTTTAGGGTTTAGGGTTTAGGGTTTAGGGTTTAGGGTTTAGGGCCAAGTTTAGGGTTTTTGGGGTTCAGGGTATATAATACAGGGTTTACAGGGTTTATAGGGCTTAGGCTTTACATGGTTTTGGGTTTCAGGGTTTAGCCAGGAAAAACCGATACACGTCTTCAGCTAACCCATCCAGAAGCAGTGCCCGACACAACAGGGACACCTGCTCAATCTCACAACATAACTACTGAACTGAAGACCACCCCCAAGGGGACTTCATGCTACATGGCAACTGTAAACCGACACAGACAAAGCGGTAAGGGCACCATCATGATTGGATTTAGCATTGCGCCAAACCAGCTGAGCAGACTAAGTTGACTAAGTCACATGGCTGTGGTTGGAGACGCGCGCAATTACGAAGCCCGCACCATGACCGTGCAAACAGCGTGTGTCTCTGTCCGCATCTTACCTAGCCCTCCCTAGACCCTACCCTAAACCCTAAAAAGTTTAGGGGTTTGGGCTCAGTAACTACCCTAAACCCAAACCCTGAACCCTAACAAGGGTTTAGGGTTGATAAGGGTTTTGGGCTCCAAACTTGGTCGACGCAACGGGATCCGGGATCCCCTGAATAAGCTTCGCACCTCTGAAACCCGGTTGCATGCCTTAGGAGCAGGGGTTTAGGGCAAATCTGCGTTTCGGAACAGCCTTGGTGTCGCTGGTCTGCCTCTTCCCATGAGGCTTGGACCTCCTGCTTGCTGTTCCTTCCCTTCCCGCAGTTCGATGGGTCCAGGAATTGCTCCTGCCAACGACCTGCTGTCCTGCCGCCGCACTCGCATTCTGCTGGGTTTCTTGCGCGAGGGATTCACAGCCCTGCAGGTGTTTGCTGCGCTGTTGCCAGAGGCCTTTTCACCTGTCTGCGACCCCGTGGCGCCTACGGCCCGGTGCCGCTTTGGGCTCGAGCGGCCTTTTCTGTCTTGGCTGTTCATATAGTTGTGGCCCTTCCCTGGCTGCGGCTCATATTTTAGCGGGTTTTGGCCGGCTCCGAGTTGATCTCCCTACGCCTGCGACCAAAGGATTCTAATCATCCGAAGATCTCCGAAGCATCGACCGACAACATCACCCATTTCCCTTGCCCACGTCAAGTGTGCCCAACAAACATTCCCTAGAATAGCTGCAGAATAGGCCAGGAAACTCCCCCCCTCCCCTTCCCAGTTTGGAATGTCAGATTCGTCCCTAAGCAGCATAAATAGCCAAAACGCTTCATCCATCCGGGCGAGTCGATCTGCTTCTGGGCGCTGGACATCCTGAGCATGGCAGCTGACGTCGGATGTTCACATACATGCCCAAGCAGGAAGGTCGCAAGTGTACCATGACGCAGATTTGTGTCAAAACCGAAAAACGCCCGATGAACCCTAAACCCTAAACCCTAAACCCTAAACCTTGGCGATGTTTATGGGTTGGTTGGTTGGTGGGGTTTTGTCTTGGATCCTCAAACTGGGGCATAGATGGTTGGTGGCTGGGTTGTCTTAGCCATGATCATGATGGGACCGCGCATTGGCAGGGATAGTTGGCGGTATGGGCTGGAGAGGCAAGGGTGACCAGTGGGCATGGCGACAGAAAAAACTTGTAGACATTCACTTCTTTCATTCGACCCAAAGCTGTCTCATGGAATCCAAAACTGTCGGCTCTTTTCGGAAAAACGAACATAACAAAACACACAATCAAGCAGAAATGACCGGACCGGGCAGGAAAAGCTGAAAAGCTTTCGTTCGCCGTAGTTGCTATGACACTGGGCTTGAGTTCCCCCTCTAAACCCTAAACCCTAAACCCTAAACCCTAGACCCTAAACCCTAAACCCTATACCCTAAACCCTAAACCCTAAACCCTAAACCCTAAACCCTATCAAGACTAGAAGCCGCATGAACCCTGTCAACCCTTCGCAGCTCACACCATCCAACCACCGTGCAACAAGAACGAGTCCTGCTCTGCAGGTACATCAGGACTAGCACCTCATTACGGCTGAAAGCACCTACTATGCCACTATGCCTTCAACAAGCGAGGCGAATCTCGAAGCTAACAAGCGTCCTTCGGGGGGGGCAGAGTACTTGACCCATGAGTGAGCTGGTGTCGAATTGGCTGCGGCATGATGCGGCAGTGAAGCATGATGTGCACGCTCTCAGGCATATGTCCGAAGTGTTGGGGGTTTTGGGATGGAGGGTGGGTTTGGGGACTGGAAACTGTTCAGGCACGTTGAGCTCAGCCTTAAGTCACACGGCTCACATGGCTAACGCACTTTCCGCATTTCACGGTGCAATGTGTCAGAGCATCCAGGCAATTCGGTCCACGCAGCAGTGCGAGTGCACGCCTCATGCCTTCGTGGCAAAACTTGCGCTCTCCTACTTCTGAGGGCGGCGTGCGAGAGCAAACTATATATGCAGAGAGCTCATGGGCAGACTCACGTGTGGAGCTGCGAAACAAGACAGTGCATGCCACTGAACCACAGCTCGGCCCGACTGCTTAGGGTTTAGGGTTTAGGGTTTAGGGTTTAGGTTTATAGGGTTTAGGGTTTATTAACCCAAAACCCTTCATCCTCCAGGACATGCGCACTTGCTCAACGATTCGGCGGATGACAGCAGAATGCTGCACGCTGCTGTCTAACCCTGCATGCTCCCAGGGACCTGAGGGTTCTAGAGTTCCATAGTAGACTACTTAACAACAAAGTCCCTGGAAGTATCGGGCAAGAAAGTTACAAAGGAAGGCGGGCCGGAAAGATGCAATGAGATGCAATCTCCAACAGCAGAAGACTGGCACCGCCGAAGCATTTCCAAAGCAAAGACTTACCCGTGCAGCTGATTGCGTCTCAATCTGCTTCAGGTAAACTGGCATCCTGGGTCACGACTGGTCTGCGGCGCTATGTACTGGACCTCTTTCCGTAAAGACTCGGCACCTTTCGCGCCGGCCCTCATGCGCTGTTGGTCTCTTCTGCAGCGTGAACGTCGGGGCTATGCGTTCGCAAGCCGCTGTGCTTCCAAGCGGCGCAGCCCTTCCAGTTCGCTGCGTACAGCGCCAAATGCGCGTCGAACACCTGGCCAGTTCTTCAAAGTTAGGATGCCCTGTGACGTAGAAGCGAACGGTGGATCCGGGGTGGGTAGTTGCATATGTATGTATATACATATATATATATGTGTATACATATATATATATATATTTATTTATACATACACACCTATTCGTTTTTACTTACCTTTGCTTGTTGTGACTTCGGTTTCTGTTTTGAGTTCTTGCCGCCCGCAACTACAAGCGCCGAGGCGCCACTCAGAGCAGAAACGAAGGGAGGGTTTTAGAGTTCAACTTAAGATTCAACTTAAGATTCAACAAGAGAATCAACTTAAGATTCAACTTAAGATTCGACTTAAGATTCAACTTAAGATTCAACTTAAGATTCAACAAGCCCAGTTTGAGAATCTCCCGCCTTCTCTCTGTCTACGCCTTGCATGACCTTCGCAGAACGAGTCTTTTGATAGATCGTGAGCAGAGTGAGGTGGAGACTGTCCAAGAGTTGGTCAATGGTCTTCTTCGAGTGCATCGCCAGCCGAAAATTGTCCAAAGGCTCCGTGCTCGACCAAGCCGAAGCATGGCGATTGCGTCGAAGGTTCTGCCAGCCCCGAAAGAAATGCTGCTTCAAGTAGTCAACTTGATAGCGCAACTGAGACACTAAAGTGCTGGCAAAGTCGATGGTGTCGAGGATGTGATCCTTACTCAATGTCTCGAAGATGTAGAGGCGCCCCACGAGCTTCGCAAGGTCCGACTGGAAAAAGCAGATCGCCGTCATCTGCCAAATGGCAAATGCCGTCCTGTCAAAGAAGAACGCCAAAGCTTCCAAGATCAAATCGTAGTCGCCGGGGTCTAAACCGAAGCAGGATGGATCTAGAGAAGTCTTGAGCCTCGCATACTGCCAGGCCAGCGGTGCCCTGAGAGCTTTCATCTTGGCGGCTGCCTCCGCGCCCGGCGCGTGCTTGGCGCTGCGGACTGCCTTCAAGTAAGACTGGAAGTTGAACCCAAAGTCGAATTGGGAGGCGTACCGAACAAACTCTTCACCATCCCAGGTTTCGGTGGACTGGCTCATCCTCTCCACGTCATGCAACTTGTCCAAGCCAGACTGGGTGAGATGGTACCACGAATACAACAGCGCGTCTACATGCCGAACGTCTTTGAATGCCTCGGCCTTCTGCGCCAAAAGAAACTCCCAAGATTGAGCTGTCGTCACCGGAATATTCATTGTGGCAATGTGCGACTCGACTCTCAAGCCCTTTGTGTTCAACAGGCATTCCATGAATCGCATCAGCTCCTGAGCGAGGTGTCGGGCCAGCGTAGCGCAGGTTCTCATAAGCTCGGCGTGCGATGCCTCCAGCATGCGTCTGTCGATCTCAGTCTTGATCTCCATCAGAGCTGGTGTGACGACGTTCGTGAAGACATCCAAGAGTGAGGTGGTGCTCGAATCCCAACCAAAGGAGTCATGCAAATCATTGATGCCTGGATCCCGAAGTCCCAGTTCCACTTCGTCTAACCACTTGAGCCGTTTCTCAACTTCCGCCAGCAACTCAGCTTGCACGTCTATGGAGCCAAGGTGCTGAAACCTGTTGGTGGTCCATTCTCGCCACTCTTGCGCCACGATGAAGGAAGGGTAATGAGGTGCCATGTCCTTGCGCTGCTGGACGACGCAATATTGGAAAGCCAAGAGGGCGTCGTGAATCCTTGCAGTGGGTCCGCATAGGCTGGAGGCTGTGAGTGGTTGCAAAGCTGCCCAGTCTCGGGCAGGCTGCTTAGCAGTGATGACCCGCCAGCAATAACACCTTGTTTCATGCTCCACCTCAAACATGTCGTCGTGACCCAGCTCTATCTCGCGATATCGGTAGAGTTCTGTGAAGGTCTTGAATGCTTCAACATCCGTCTTCGACAGAGAGCGGCGGCTGGCACATCCACATTTGTGGCAGCAAGCCACAACACAGCAAACAAGTAGCAGAACCAAGGCGAGTCCCACCGCTAGAAGCGCTTCCATGGACGCCGATACCACATGTACTTGAAGCATTCCGCGCAAGCTACGGACGCGCTACCAGGTAAGATCAACAACACATGCGCTTCTTCGCTTGTCTAGGCAAAGCAGCTCATGGAATACGCGCTGCCTGTACTGGAGCAAACTGCGTGGGCTTACAAACTTCTCTCCGTTGGAGTTCTTCTGCTCTTGTGTTTGCTGTGGATTTTGGCTGAGCTGCATGTTACGTCTGAGCCTCCCAGCAGCATGTCCTTGAAAGGTTTCCAATAGCCAACGCAAGCAATCTTATGGGAAAACTTGTCCCTCGTAAGCCCGGGACCTACCCAAACTAGGAGACTGAGCTGGACGGAATGTTTATGAATCCTGAACTAACGGCCCTGGCAGTCCTCCTGTAGCCTCAAAACCCTGGTAGCACAGTAACAATACTACACCAAGGGTACCCTTTTCGGGGTTCGGGTTTCGGGTTTAAGGCTCCAAGCTCCACAAGAAGCCTCCTTGCAAGGGACAGGGCTCGTAGGTTGTTTCCTTTTCGAAGCACGAGCCGCCAACAAAGTCAGAAGCCAGGAATACTCGACGGTTCATGGGTACTTGAGTCGGCTTGCAAGTAGGGTAACAATGGTTGTAACAGTCACTTAGGGCATTTACCGCACCACTTCAGAAGTACCCATGAACCTTCTACGGCGCATGAGGCATGCCTCGAAGATGGACCGCATCTTGCATGAACGCCAGCATGATGATTCGGGCTTTCAGGGTGACAAGGGCCACAAGGCTTCTAAGGCAGCCTAATGGACTCTCCATCACAGACCAGACCCAGGGCCGAACGTACTTCCTCGCTGTCTCAACGCTTGCCCCACGTGGACATTGACGTGCATCTCCAAGTCAACCGGAAGCTACAGTAGCTAAAGCCAAAGAGTCCCCCAGCCGTGGGACTTTTAGAGTTCAGGCTCCAGCTTCAGAGCGACACTGTTCCAGAGCATTTACAGGGACTAGTGTCAATTCAGCCACCTTTTTTGCAAAGACCCTAAACGGGGGGTGCAAGTGGCTCTGGTATGCTTTGCATAAAGGGTTGCTGTTTTTGAAGTTGCCTGTTGCAGAACAACCCACAGATTTCTTGCAGAGATTCGATCAGGCATATTAGAGCCAGGGGTGGACATGTGTTGGGATGTTCCCCCCTTATACTAACAGTCCTTAATAGGGATTAAAACAGGGGGTACTGTAATCCCTTTTAAATGACTGTTAGTATCGGGGGGGGGACATCCCAAGACATATGTCTAGTTCTCTCCGTTGCAATAATTCCTTGGTCTGAGAAGTTCAACGGCTGAGGGGCCGAGGCATCAAAAATGATGCGAGCTGCCCTTGACTTGCTTCGCAACTGGGCAGCCGCACGAATTTCTCCAGCTGGGCTGGTGTGATGCCAAGTTGCGTTTATGGAGGGTGCACTTTCCGAGTTTGCCCACACCTGCGAGGGCTCGGGACTCCGTATGTCTTGGTGTCGCTTGAATGTCTAGAGCTAAGAAAACCGTTAAGTGACCACAGAAAGTGTAGAACATTTAGCAAGGCATCACACTTCTCTCTGTACTGGCACAGACTGAACCTGCCAGGCAGGGATTTGGGGTCCCACGACGGGCCCCAGAAGGCTTGTGAGCCCTGTAGGGGTGGTGCCGCGTATCTGTCACAGCTGGTAGGACGGTGTGCAGCATGTTCCAGCTTGTCTTGGGCCTATCCAAAGTTTGGTGGCGCACAGTAGCAACCCTTGCTGAATCAATCGGGGTTCTGCGAGTTGGTGATGGGGACGGAATAAACATCCAAACTTCAAGGGGGGCACCTCTCCAAAACACTTCTTCGTCTATTCCAGCCTTAGATTCGCTAAGGGGCCCAAGTACTGACCCAAGCCTCCCTGCTAGCCCTTGTGTCAGCTCATTTCTTGGCTAGAAGGCAATTGGACTCGGACCCCTTGCGCAAGACTAAACCCGCAAACCGGCAAACCCTAAAACCTAAACCCTAAACCCAAAAGCTTGATTCTGCGAGCTCGAGCTCTCAGCCTGAACGGCTGCAGCCTGTGAAGCTCTGGCTTCGGGGGGTTTCGAGGCGGTTTCGGGTTGAGGGTTTAGGGTTTCGGGTTTGGTTTAGGCCACAAGGGCTTTCAAAGACTCTTGAGGCTTTGTGGGGGTTTCAGGGGCGATAGCTTCTCTGGGCGAAGTCACCAACCTTTCTTGCAGACGACATACGGGTTTTCGCTCGCGGTCTGGCATTTTGTCTACTTGCACCGAACTCCGCCAATCTCCTACCCTGAGCCGTATCCAGCCGTAGCCCTCCCTAAACCTTAAACCCTAAACCCTAAACCCTTTTTTTGAACCAAGGCCTCAAACAAAGTCAGGTAGCCAGAGCCCGAGGACCCTAAACCCTTTTGGGAAACTGAGTCCTGCGGTCTAACTACCGTCTTGATGCTGGACCCAAGGCGCCTTCGGGGATACGCAGTGGAAAAGCCCTGAACATACACCCATTTATAAAGGGGAGTTGCAAGGGAATCAAGAAAAAGTAGTATGACAACAGGAGATGTGAGCTCGGTGCGATAAACAAGGATGACTCTGCAGGGTGGATTTCACAACCCTAAACCCTAAACCCTGAACCCTATAAGCCCTATAGAACCCAGAACCCTAAACCGCAAATCCTAAACCCCTTTGCGCTTCCATCCGGGCCTCCCTAAGCCCAGGTGGCCAGGAAGACCATGGGGCAGAACGCATACGTGGCCAGTGGCCAGCCTGCCGCTGGGTGTAGGCTTGTGGGGGGTTTAGGGCCTACCAGGATGGGCTATTATATCCTATAATCCATTAAAAGGCCCTTAATTGGGTTCACTATGGGGATGTTAAGGCCTAATAGCCCATCCTGGTAGGGTTGAGGGTTTAGGGTTAGAGAATACTGGGGCCGGGCTTACTACTCTCAACTGAAAGGCTGGCCTGTGCGACACATCTTTGTTCATGTCAGTATGATGTCGTCCTCTCAATGTTTCTTTGTGTCATGCCATCTCCCCATCTCATTTCTCTTTCATCTCCCACTATATGTATACATACATACATACATATATATATACATCCGTCTCATCACCGTCATTCCCCTCGAGAGGGGCCGGGAACGCTCCTCGGAGCGCCTTGACTCAGCACCAGGTTTCCCCGAGCTGTGTTCGGGTATGGGCAATCAGACATGTGGCATTCAGGATTCCTGGAATGTCCCCAGGAGTTACAGACCATCGAGTTGCTCTATTGAGGGGGTTTAGGGTTTAGGGTTTAGGGTTTGATGTTCCTTCCAATCCTGGCCAAGTTGACTTCCTGGCAAATGTGTGTCGGCCACCTTGATTCGCTGGGACGGGCCCTAAGCATCCAAAAAGCACGACCCCAATTCAACCATACAGACTAAGGTTACGAGACATTTCTCTCTCTCTCTCTCTCTCTCTCTCTCCTTCTCTCCATTCTCTTCCTATCTTATCTCTCGCTTCCATCACTCCCATCATTTTTGAATACATGGCCGAGCCCTACCTCCTACAACATCGATTCCCTAAATACCCTAAACCCCACCCTCGAATCCCGAATCAAGCCTCGTTTGCTCAGGTTGTGTCCTACAAGCCAATCGTACCCCAACAAAGCAACAAAAGCCAAACAACCCCACAATCGCCGGCGCACTCCTATTTTCCTTCAGGGCATGGGGGCCAGGGTTGCCCCTGAGCCCACGAAGCGCAGCCCGCGCCCAAAGCTCGCGGTCGCATCGGTGACACTTGACGACCAAACTGCTTAGTGGCACTACGCCCTCTCCCGCACACACGAAAGCCCTCAACGATACGAGAACCCCAAAGCCTAGGATTGAGGTCTTCAACTCCAAGCCCGAAATACTCTGAAGCAACTTTCGATATGAGGATCTTCTGTCCATAAGATATCAATGATGTCTTATGCAAAGCGAGAAGGGATGAGATGTGCCAAGAATCTAGAGATCAGGAAAATGCGGCTCGAAAGCTGCATTTCCTGCTCGGCCCGGCGAGCGGGATCATGCTAAGCAATCACCCTCTCTGTCGAGTTTCATTGAAATCCTGACATGCTTCACGCATTTCGTTCGTTTGCGGTGTGCCCGGCCCTGTCGAGTTGTGCACTGTTGTCTACGGTGCACATAGACACCCACCCCATAGCGGTTGGAGCTACCTCGGGCAAATTCATATTCAAACTGATGTTCAAAAGCGCTCCCAGCATGAACTAAAGACTGTAGGATGGTGCGGGGGGCATCACGCCTGACACGGCGTCACGGTTCGGAACATTGCTTTCCATGTTCGGAAGATCCCAGGCTCTCTTGGAAATTAAAAGCACCACGGAGAGCTAAGCAGGCCAACAACGGGCCGGTTGGCTGATAGACAGTGAAACCGCCCCAAACACCTCATGAAGGACTCTGGATCTTTTTTACATCGTTGTTTACTCGCACTTGATGGTTGAGGTTTATGACTACTATTTCCCTCCCTGCTATGGCATCACAGACGGTGTTCTGGGCTTCAAGCAACAATACAGCAATCACGGGGGGATGACTGCATCAGCCTGTTCGTCCAGATCCCGTACTGCTCGACCGGTAGACAACTTCTGATCCTCAAACTTCACAAATGCCCACTCGATTCGCCTGTCTTTCTTCAGGAGAACCCCGACGAACAACATTACCACGCCTCACTCGGACTGATTCGGTGAAACTTCAAGCTCCCATCATCTGTTGACTATCACGAAAGGAGGAAATCGCGGGAAGGAATACAGGGCCTAGCCTAGCAGGGCAGATTTCAGCTGCTCAAGCTTCTGCAGAATGGACGGTGGCCTCGCCAATCCATGGCCACAAAAGCCCTCCTCATTTTCATGTGCCTTTCTTCATGGTTTTAGGGTTTAGAGGGTTTAGGGTACAATATCACTACACCTGATTCGATGAAGCTCCTATGCCGTCTCCTACACCAAGGCTGTACAGCTTTCGACACTTCGTGCAGGACCTTGGGCCCCCAACTTAACACCAAAACCTATACC